GAGACGACACCAGTAGATATGGCTCCGAGTCTGACAGATATGGACTCAAAATTCTTGTCAACGATTCCAGACTGTAATCAAACATTAAAATGTAAATATTTTACTAAATATTTCTTGATTAGCAATAGCAGTACCTTTTGAAAGACGCCTCCAATTGTTGCGATATTCTCATTGCTTAGACTCCATGTGATTCTAAGCGCCGGTATGGCTGAACCAAAACTGAACGGTGTTTCAAACTCATTGGCGCCCATCAGTTGCAGTGGAAGTTGTGATCCGATTCTCAATTGACTGGAATGGCTGACAATTTTGATTTTGTTGAGAGCGACCACATGTAAGTCAATCTCAGAGCGGGAATATTCAATGTTTTCAACGCTCAGTACTCTAACGATTAGTTTTGTTTTTCCCAATTTCGAGCCCACAATCAAGCCGTTCGAGTCAACTCTGGCCACAGTCTTGTCGACCAAAGAATATTCTATATTCCGTTGCGGTTGTGGGCCTCCGAGTGTAGTCACTTGGAAGTGGGCGCCCACTATAAGCGTTAGATTAGAGGGTACTATACGGAGGGGTGCGAACACCTGTTCGTTGATATGAAAAGTATTAAACATTTAATTTGTCAAAATTTATATAATTATTCCGGACCTGAATATTAACGACTCCACTCTCGATATAATTAGTTTGTAAAGATTTGCTCACAAAATTCAATGAACTTATTCCCAGTCCTTCGCCTTTCAGTTTAAAACTTGACTTTAAATCATCAAAAACTGTTAAATTGCTGTAAAAAACAGTTGAAATATAAAGTTTGTAAGAATACTACAAAAAATTGTATAAATACCTAAAACTTAAAATTTTGTTTGATATAACAGGCATTAAATCAATAAGTTTATGGTTAACAGAATCGATATAATTGCCATTGTTGTCAATCACAGAAAGATATCCGTCGACAACACTTCCCAATTGAAATTTATCCACGATTTCAATGCGAATATCAGTCGCTTCCACAACAGAATAGTATAAATCTGTGTTTCCGTAAGAAATAAGACACAAATCCTCTATTTGTATAACTCCTCCGCCGACCACTTTTGGAGCAATCTATTCATGTTTAGGAGAATTGATTTTGTACCAAATTTGTTGCTAAAAATTCAAACTATAACTTACGGCAAATGATTTTGATTGTTGTTTAAAAGTAATATTAATGAACTGTCGTTCTGATTCAGAGTCAATACCAAAATACCCTGAACCCTTCCTGATATTTACAACAAACTGTCAAAAGAAACTCCATATTAGACAATGAAAAGCAATGGTAATACTTTACGCACTTATAGTTGACTTAATTGTCGTGCTTTTGATCATTAAATAATTTAAAATCCTGACTACATATTGACGATAACAACGATTGTGACGTGAGTTATGACAAGTTTGGGTTAAATTGTTAAGAATTAAGAGATTATACAAAAAAGCTAAGATATGGGACCAAAAGTAAACCAAAAATACCAGGCAATCAAATATACCGTTTACTAAGTTCTAAACCCCAATCCCTAAACCGCACAACAGTTAAGCAACAGATAAAGTGGTTTAAAGTGAAATGAAAAGATAGTTTAGAGTTAATGAAGTCAAAAGAACTTCATAATTCTTGCTATAAATGGACAAAAATAAACAAAAATAAATGAATTTTAGATTTGAATTATGAATGAATGTCAGTTCAAACCTTTTGCTTGGGATGATTAAAAATGGCGATATTGTCGGAATCGACGGCCGCCTTATCCACAGAAATCAATTCAATTTCACTCCTAATTTTAAATTTATCCTTATATTGCTTTTTATATCCAATAATTTCTGCACTAATTTTCACAGAATTGGTCAGAAATTCTCTCATGATTTGCACGTTTCTAGTAATCGCGAAATATCCTTTGGCTCCGTTCACCACTTCCTTAACGCCATTCGGAATCTCATTATCGGTTCCGTCGACACTCCACACGATATCTAAGGTCGAGATGTTGTAAAAACTTCTTCCGGAGTCGTCGCGTACATCCACTTCTATTTCCGTGTTTTGATTCTTTTCGACCGGAAATACCGAGTCTTGCGGTGCAGACAAAGGACACGAAGACTTCAGTTTGGGTTTAATGATGAGAGACGCGG